TAATAGGTATATCGTAACATAAACGTTGGTAATAGGTATATCGTAACATAAACGTTGGATAATAGGTATATCGTAACATAAACGTTGATAATAGGATATAATCGTAACATAAACGTTGGATAATAGGTATATCGTAACATAAACGTTGGTAATAGGTATATCGTAACATAAACGTTGGTAATAGGTATAACGTAACATAAACGTTGGTAATAGGTATATCCTAACATAAACGTTGGTAATAGGTATGTCGTAACATATACGTTGGTAATAGGTATATCGTAACATAAACGTTGATAATAGGTATATCGTAACATAAACGTTGGTAATAGGTATATCGTAACATAAACATTAGCGATAGGTATATCGTAACATAAACGTTGGTAATAGGTATATCGTAACATAAACGTTAGCAATAGGTATATCGTTACATATTTTAAACGCATCCAGTATTGTGTTTTTTGCTGTATTTTTACTATATATATCACTATATTTGCTGATAAGAAAAATCAACTAAATTAAACCAAAATTAACACGTAAAATAACTCAAAACTTGTCCAGCCATGTCCGTGAACTTAAAACGCAGTTAAATAACTGGTTTTACGGGACACGTTGACAATAGATATACCATGGCATAACCGTTGGCAATCGACATAATGACGTGTTAGGCACACTCACACAATTCAATTTTATCACCAATTACCTGCACTTCGTTTATTTACAAAAACCAAAACCGAGTCTCACGGACAAAGGGACACGGCGTGAATGGGAATGCAAAGTTAACGTTTTCGAGTTCCTTAAACATTATTACAACGGCCATTGTTCCATCTGTCGGTACTCTGTAATTACTCCGACCAAAGTGTTTTTTGAAGAATATTGAAACATTTATTAAGTCGGAAATGTCCACCATCCGGCACGCTGGCATAATAGAGTTCTCGTCATCAATCATATCAACACAGTATATTAGTCGGAATTTGGGTGGACGACAATCAACCACCGCTGCGGTTGTTTATTTGTGCGAAGTTTAAATTTTGAACCATAGTAGCACATTTGGGGGGTCGTGTTAATATTATATTATATAAACTATTCGCGCTCAATTCAAATTGATTCTGAATTTCACAGAAAATTAATTATTTTAAAATATTTGAAATTAATAGCAGACGGAAATTAATTTAGCAGCGGTTGTTCATTTTTCTTACCCCCCCCCATCACCACCAACCCATCCACCAAAGAAATTCATTTTTGAACTATATTACTGTGCAACTATTCACGCAGATTCAAAATAAATTCTTAATTGTGCGGAAAGTATTTGTTTTCATTTTTAACGATGCTTTCCCACTTTGCATATCTGTGACGTACTATCAACTGACCAATGTATACACCATAACATGTTTAGATTGTTGATGAGCAAGGAAGGAGAAATCAACTCAGAGTATAAATTTAAGCGGTTCTCTTAAATTAAGCTAACATTTTTCTAACAAATTTCTGGAAGTTATATTTCTCAAATTTGCAGAGTGAAAATGTAAATTTAAGTCAAAATAAAACAAATTAATCACAATTGTGCAGTATCAACAATATTTACGAATTTGATTTTTTTTTTTAATTCGTTGAAAAGCAGACGACATTAGTTAGTTCAAAAACACGCATTACGCGGACAATAACTATAACCGTATGGTGCAACCAGCACGCAGAAATGAGATCAGTCAACGGTAGGGTAGATGTCATTTATTAAAATTCAGAGAGTCCCGGTAATGATAGGACAGCCCTAACGAATGGTTTATAAATGAACCAGCATGCACGCCAAAGTAGAACAACGTGCGTACGGGACGACTGGTGGTCAGATGAAAACGGCCATGCCATTCCAATTTGATCGATCGGTACAGGGTTAAAGATTAAATTGCTGGTATTTTGTGGTTAAAAGTCAGGGTGAAACAGAAGAACGCTCGCGACATTGTCTGGAGCTTGATATGACGGTTAAAGTCAAATTAATGATCTAGTGTGCCAAGCAAACCAGTGAATGTATTTGCGTCGATTTTGTTTGTACAGTGACGTAGCCGTCAGTAGTTCGTGACACTTCAACAACCAACAAAACGTCAGGACTCGTGGAAATGCTGAGACCAATTTTTCACACTACTGAACTACGTATGAGGTTAGGTGCCAGGTTTTGCCGCCTCGGACGTGGAACTATGTTTTAGTTCGGCACTTTCAGCTTTCACACACCGAAACACGCCGGTCTATTGTTACCATGGAGCGAACAATTAAACACGAGTACGATTCGTTTTTTGTGAAGAAACTGGTCGAATTGATCAACCGCTCGCGGCGACAAAAGATCTCAACAAGTTTAGTACCGTATTCTAAATCATGATAATTTGACGAATTCTCATTTTCGATTAATGGCTAACTAATACTGCAAAGAGCCGCTTATGTAAATGTTGTTTGCACTTCATCTTCTCGAGCTTGCTTTTGGAGTGCCGCCTAATCGTAAACCTTTTGGACGCTATATTTCATTCAGCCTACATTGTGGGGCATAGTTTTACCTAATATAATGTTGTTATTTTTTGGAAAGAATGGGCATATTTTCTCATTGACTGCAAGTTCTTATAAAAAAATGACAAAAAAAAAACAAAAAAAAACATGCAGATTTGATTTCTGAAATGTGAAAAAATAGACTTTGGCTTTCTGAGGGTTAATACTAACCTAACATCGAAATCGAACTATTTTTAGTATGACGCTTTTGAACTTGACCGACGATACAAAATCACCTGCGAGTCATTTACGTCGGAGTTCTAAAAATGCAGCGACAATAATTCGTGAAACAGCGCGAGCCGTTGTGACGATTTGCCGAGTTCATGAACCTACGATCTGTAAATGGTTTGCTCTATTGGTAAAACGATTCTACGCCCCGTAGATAAACGTCCTAATCCGGCGTTCAACCCGAAACTCTGCGAAAACCTAATTTTCTCCGGATGTTCTAGTTCCTGCTCAGAGTTTTTAAGATCGATACCGGCAAAGTTTGTTCTTTTCTTCTGCTTCACTTGACATGCTTTCTCATTAATTGTAAGTCTTTTGTGAACGATGTCATAGGTTACATTGTAATTCTTGTCTCCACTGACCTTAATGTGTGCCTTTATGGACTAATAAAAGAGCCACACTACACACACTCACACGTAATACCCTCAAACTACTATTTACTATTTCGCCGCGCACACGCATCCGTATTTCACCGGCAATGGTCCTGGCTACATAACTTTTAGTCGTTTTTGAAAACTTTCATAAATCCAAGCCACCGACGAGCACTACTGCTTGTAGTTTCGATCAGCATTTTATCATACGTGTTTCTGTAACGAAGTTGTCGTCTGCGTTCACATTTTGTGCGAATTATGAAAAAAAAAAGTAAACGCAACATACCTGTAGCGTTGACCCAGGGGTAGAGAGTTGTTGGATTCTGCATTGCAGACATAACATTGTTGATACTGTCGGCACTCGATATTTGCGAACAGTGGTCCTTCAGTCCGTCCACCAGATCATTAGAATGCGTGCTCCAGGCAGTCGTGTAGCCCTGTAAGCGGGAGTCCCACGATGCGATCGACGTCGTATTTTGATTCAAGGCGCCGTAGTTCGTGGCTGTGTCGTACCCGGCTGCGTTGGTAACTGCCCCGCAGTAGCCCTGTGGACTGGTACCGTTGGGCGAGTAAGCGGCTCCCGGATATCCATTGGGTCTTCTCTTTGCAACGTTTGGAGGTCCGTTGTTATAGGCACAGGACGGCAGCTCAAATCCGCTTGGATACAGCGAATCGCCTGGCTGGTATTTCGCGAATAACGAGTTTACGAAGTAAGAACTCATCACAAGTTTAGTACTCGGGGGTTGATTTGTGGTCTACAGTGGCGTTTACTGCCCGTTGATGTATAGTAAGCGCGACTACACTGCATAGATCCACAAGGAATCGTACATACTTACTCTTTGTTTCAGCCAATCAGATGCCGTCTTCCACGCAAGAGCAGCCAATCAGATGCCGTCTTCCACGCAGAGCAGAA